AAAAAAAAAAAAAAAAAAAAAAAAGACGTCCCAACATTGAAATCATCTTTACTTTCCACCCCCAATCCTAGAAAGTTGTTCCGTTTCGTTTTCCTTGCTAAAGAGTTAACAAAACTAATGACACTTAATAACGTCTGATGATAACGCCCACACTAAACTGATCCTCATCTCAAAAAATAATTCATACTACTAAACCAACACTAACTTTCCATTATTTAACTGTGATAAACCGCCTATACAGCACCCAAACTTATGTATGCCAAAAAAACCTGACTACTGACTGATAATTAAATATAACTAATAAATTAAATAACTTTCAACTTTTTTACGTTCTTAAAACAAAGAATTGCAAAAACGTTTTGCAAGGAAGTAAAACATCACTTTTTTAAGCCAACATTTATAAGTGGTTAGAAGAACGACTACGGCAGTAACAACAGTAAAAATAATGAATCAAAGTACTTTTGCAAAAAATATTTTTTGATCAAATAACGACACTTGAAGCAAATTGAAGAATGAAACAAAAACAACAAAAAAAATATATAAATAAAATAAAAGAATGATGTCAAGTAAAGAGAAATGATAAAACGAAAACAACAAAGCTTTTTGCTGCAGACTGACTGCTGATTTCGATGCTGCTGTTGCCTGATGATGATGAACAGTAAGAAATACCGCAGCCAGCCAGCCTATTGTGTTGCTGGAAAGACTTTGAGGTTGAAAAGATGTCGGCAAAATGAAGAGATGCAGACAATCCTGCAGGAACAACAATATCCGAGTGTAAATTGAACAGCGAGCCTATTCCGCCTGAGAGCGGTGATACCACTGTGGCCCCTGCAGTACCAATAAGCATCAATATCCCAACTAGCCGCTAAACAGTGGAGCCCCCACCTCATCTAATTTTTCGCCCATCTCATTATGGGGATTCTTCATACAATTTTGTTCATCGGCTTACTTCCGATACAATACTTCACTTATGGTAACATCCAACTTTTCTATTCTAAGCCACTTTTTAAAAAAGTTTTACCCTCTTTCTAATGTAAATTACCGGTCCCTCCGCCTTTCGTTTGCGTAATCTCAGTCAGTGCTACCTGTAAAGTGCAAAACTGTTACTTAACTTCAATTATACAACATTTCAGCTAAAAAAATTCTTGATTCTTCAAATCAAAAACTCCATTATTTAGCTGAACAACTCAGTTTTACCATTGATTGTTTACAGTACTTGTTTTCGAATACTATCCCAATTACTTATTTTTTTTAGCTCACAGCACCTGCTTTTTCATAACAGGAAGCACAGCGAATAATGTTTACAAAGAAATGCTTGCAAAACGAATTCTTGAAACAGAACTCCACCCGATGGAGGCAAAAGGTCTCGCCAGTGATATTAAGAATTTCAGATTTTTTCTTTAAGATTATTCAATTAGCTACCGTTCCTAGAAACTGGAGATTATAAAGAATGAACATGAATACTGTTGAAATGAATATTTCAGAAATCGCTAGCTTTCTTTATTCCAAATGTAACAAGTAAGAACTACTCTAATATCCTTCTTGAGCAATTTTACATAACTTTGTTTTTCAGCTACGTTCCGAATCCTAGCAAAGGATGCAGAAAAATGGAAATCTCTTTTCACCAGTGACGAACAACTACTGTTAACTGCGCAACATCATGACACTTCGTTGACTCTCATAATGGCATACGAAGGAACTGATGAAATGAGTCTCAAAGAGATTTCACTACTTTCACAATTGATACAAGACGTGAAACAGTTTGCTCTAGTGGAAATTGGTAAGAAACTACTGCGATCAAACAAGTTAACTAAACTGCGCTGAAAAAACTGATAACAATAACAAATTAAGGTAGCCATTAAACATCCACTTCTAGATCTTCAATAAGCCTAAATTTTAAAGTTAATGATAATAGCGAAAAAGAACCTGTTTTTTGCTCTAAAAGAGGTACAGATGAATGGCTATCAAGACATTACTTTTGTAGGAAAAACTACAGCGATTCAAACTATGACGCTCCTTATGAATTCTGCACATTGCACCTATGCAAGTCAGCTGAATATTGAATCTCCAAACAACGTGTACTTCTGTAACGATATCGATATCTACGCCATTCCGCTCTTAGACCCAAAAGTTGCAATTAAACCCATTGGAGTCACAATACACACTGACAAGAGACAAAAAGCTATGCTTCACCCAACCCACATCATTCATCATCGAGATATGCATTATACCATTGGAGGCGATAAACAAGGCACTGGAAGACACAAACGAAAGAAAGCAAGTAAACAGAAAATTGCAGAAATGAAACTTCTTGAGAAAAGAGCCCGCAGAAGGCACCATCCGCCGGAAAAAGTTGTCGAACTTCCAATAGCGCAGAGGAAGCTATTATGCAAATACAGAAAGTCTTGCTATGAAAGTGGGATTATACCAATGGAGAAAACTGCACCAAAAGAACCTGAGACTCAGAGTGAGGAGGAGACAGAACAACATGAAATCAGTGACGCTGAAATCAAACTCGCTTGCAAGTATCGAAAATCTTGTTACGCTGAATTCGGGCATGATGAAAGTAAAAGACCAAAACCGAAAAAACATAAAGTTCTTACTGGAAAGGCTCGAGCATTTGTACACCACCACAGAGAAAAGAAGAGTCTAAAGGAAATTGCTCACAAAGCTTTAGAAACAGTCAAACATCAAGAAACAAAAATACATCGACTTCCAGAACAAAAAAAAGCTATTGTCGAAAAGAAGCTTAATGAAACTGAGATGAAAAAAATTCAGAAATCGTGCAAATATCGCAAATCGTGCTATACAACAGGAATACCTCCGAAGTTAGCTTCAAAATATGAATTCCTAATGAAAATTATTAGCCTCTTACCTAAACCTCCAACAGAGGAAACAAAGAAAAATTTCACAGAATTTGATGATTTAGAGAAAAAAACCTTTTGTCATTATCGGAAATCCTGCTACGATTCAGGCGTGAGACCAACGCTGAAGAACGCTACTCAACTGAAAATCAAACATGTCATCAAAAAAGAGGAGCAACAGATACCGCTGCAGTTGAGATGTAAGTACAGAAAATCCTGTTACGAGACAAAAGTACTACCAACAACTGAGCCACCAGAGGTTAAAGAACCGGAGGAGGAGTTCAAGCCATTACCAGTAATTGAAACCCTAATGCAACTAAAAGCCCACTGCAAATACCGAAAAAGCTGTTATCAACAAAAACTGGACGATCATGAACGAGAGGAATTCTTGAAAAACATGTCAATACGAACCCAAATCCCAGAAAAACGTATCCAATTTGAAAGCGATAAGGCGTTCGCTGAAAAAGAAGCAAAGGAGGAAGAGACTGATAAAAGCAACGTCGTGGAATCCACGGAAATAAGGCCTACCACTGAAAGTCAGGAAGAAATAGAGGATGAAACCACTACAAAGGACGAAACGATAGAAAGGAAGAAAGAGAAGGAAATCAAAAATATTGTGCCAAAACCCCCTAAAGTTAAGCGACCGAAGCGCGAAGATCGTAAGCCAAAAGTGGATGAAGAGCAGACAGTTACGCCTCCTAAAATTACCGAAAAACCCAAAAAAGAAGAGGAGATACAAAAGACAAGGAAAATTAAAGGGAATTACACTTTACCAGAAAGCAAAAGGATCAAAAGTGACGCACAAAGGAAGAAGGAACAAGTGGAACCCGTTAAGAGCAAAATAAAAAAAAGTGCAACAGAAAAAAGAAGCAAAATTCCCAGCGTTGACCAGGAAGAGCTAAAAAGAGGGCAAAAAGAATCAAAAGAAAGGAAAGAAAGTTACAGAGATGAAAGCAAAGAACCAAGCGATCAGCCCACCAAAAAAATTACCAAAGAACCAAAATCGAAGCCAAAAGAAAAACCAACAAAAAAGTTGAAGAAGTTTTTAACTGGTAAAGTTACTGGAGATGACGGTACTGGAGAGAAGTTGTCCTGCAAATACAGGAAATCTTGTTACGGAAAAGGGAGTGAATACGATTTTAAAAGAGATTTTGCGGAACAAATAACCCCTCAAAAAAGTGCCGTATTACAATGCAAATATAAAAAGTCATGTCCTGAAACTGAAATTAAACCAGAAATTGATCGAAAATCAACTCCCAAAGAAGAAGACTTGGCCAATCAAATTGATACCGAAGCTGAAAGCGAAAAGCCGTCAATCCGAGCTCACAAAAAGCTTTACTGCAAGTACCGTAAATCATGTTACGCTACTGGAAAAATTCCGATACTAAAAAAGGTTACTTTGAAAAATTTAGCAGTCACTGATCCTGATACGGTTCCTGCTCAGTTACGTTGCAGATACAGAAAATCGTGCTACAAAAAAGCCAATATCCTTTTAGATACAAAAACTGCAAAAATGAAAAAGACCGTTAAACGTGAGGACGCTGTAAGCGACGCAACGATTTCAAAGGTAGCACTTCAAGCGAAAGGAAAATTAAGTGAAGAAAAGAGGAAGACTGGAGCAGAGAAGAAATTGAAGAAAGATGAAGAGAAGAAGAGCGAAGAGGAGGAAGATCGCGAAAAGGACGAAACAAAAAAGAAACCTAGAGACGAAGATAAGGAGGAACAGTACAAGCAGATAAAAGTGACTGAACCACAGCTACAGAAAAAGCGTACCTTGAGTGCAAAAGAGAAGCTATCTTGCAAATACCGCAAACGGTGCTACGAAGGTCAGGAGATCATTCATTTTAAACCTCAAAAAATATCATTGACGATGAAGGGATTAAAACGTGCTGATGGAAAACCATGTAACATTTACTACATCTCATGTCGAAAGATGGTTGGATTACCAATTCGACAACGACCGCCCATAGGACCAAGCGGAAAAAGGCTTTGCAGAAAAAAGCCGAAAAATGCAAATGCTTCTACATGATTTAGCGCTCGACTGTATGATTTTCTCTGAGCTTTATTACGTTTTTCACTTCTCTAATTTACTTCATATTGTATAATTTTTTCCCTTGCATAAAAGACTTCTTGCCTTTTCATCAACACAGCCAAAGCAATAGAATTTAATGTATAAAGAAAGCCATAAAAAAGTATTGCGCCTCCTGTAATATAATACGTTGGTCCATTACTTAAACCAGTATAGATTTTGTGAAAAAAAAAAAGAAAAACATTACTTATTTAAATAAAGATAAAAATAAAAATTGAATTCTCTATCATAAGTACCGGTTTTAAAGAGTGAATAGAAGTCGAATCAAGTTTTCCTAGGATAAAAATTACGCTACAGTTCTGAAAACGGTAAGATACAAATTTGACAGAAAAATCCTTCCTTTCAAAACAAAAATTTAGAACTTAACCGATTTGGCTTAACAAGATCGCATGGAAGTTCTCAAGTTGTACCTTCAAATAAATTCATCGGAAAAAGGCTGCAGAGGTGCGCAAACGCTAGAGCTGATAGAAAAGAAATAAAATTTGAAAGTCGGCTATAGCAGGCAAACCTTCCGCAGCCACGATAATATGTATATTTCATACAGCGAATCATCCATATTGATTTTTACTTTAAGAAAAGGTTCCCCAATAAGGCCTTAACTTTTTAGTATCTCAGAAACGACAGAGTTTTAAACGAGGTTACATAACAAGCTGACCACTCGTAAACATTCATTTATTCAGAATTATCAAGTGATTGAGTTTTGAAGGTTTTAAAAATGTCATACAGTCGCTGAAAATATTTCGTCGCTTATGACACTTAAAAATATATCTGCCGAATAAATTTCCACAGTGTACGTAATGCAAAAAAAGACTGAACTCACATTGGGCTCAACCTCCTTTAACCACTCATTTGCGGTGTCATCATAGTCAAGTTTACAAGCAGTAGCCAAGTCGTGATGAGCTTCCAAAAACTTACCCAATAACCTGCAACCAAGTTTAAAAGAAAGAGGTAAAACTAAAGTTATTTACCTACAAAGCTTTAAAAAAAATTAAAAAAGACGCTGCCGTCTTCTAGAGACAAATATTGACAATGTAAAGAAAACGCAACTGATAATTACGTCCTGCAGTTGAAGTCCTGCAGTTGAAGGGAAAGGCAAGGAAAATAATGAGAACGAACAAAAAAAAAGTGCCTCGAAGAAAATAATTAAATTTTAATTTTTTATTTTTTCAAATGGTCCCCCACTTTAAACTGGTCTATTCAAAACGACTACTCCAGTGATATAAAATAGTAGCTTGAAAAAAAAAAATTTGGTCAAATAATGCCTCTACAACTTTAATAAATTTAGAAATTCACAATGTGCTAAAACAAACCTATATGCACGACCGCGGAACTTGTATGCTAAGGCAGAATCAGGATTCAGCTCAATAGCCTTACTACAATCCCTGATTGCACCATTAGGCTTATTCATTTGTAGAAGAACACTACAAGAACACTAAATAATATAAATCTACAAATGCGTCAGTTTACATTACATTTTGAAACAAGCTATAAAATTCATAGGAAAATGAAAGAGAGGCAAAAAACCTGGCTCTTTTAGCATGTAATATCGCTGAACTGGAATTTAGTTTGATGGCTTCAGTATAATTCTCAACAGCTTTAGCATAGTCACCTAAGATTAATTAAAATTAAAACGTTTTCATATGACAGAATCACTAAACCAACGATAACACTAATTTCCCAAAAGGTAAAGTCAAAAAGTGGCAAGTGCTTAGCGATAGCAACAACGGCAACTGCAACAAAAAAAAAATGAACAAGTAAACAAACTCTAAGTGGTTTTGAAAGAAACATTTTATTACAAGCTTGTTAATGCAGAAGAATTACCCTCTGAATAAGCAGCAGCTGCTGCGCTACGAAATTCGTTTGCTTTTTCCATATCTTCTTCAGATGGCTAAAAAAATCAGGATTCAATTTATGGCTGCAAACAAGAAACATGAGAAATGAAAGTTATCCAAAATCTATGAAACATACAGACTTTCAATTACTTTAACGTGTTCGTAAAAAGTAGCAAAACGCGAAAAACCTCTTTATTGGAATCACCCATCGACAGTGGTTCATCTTCCTCACCTTCAATAACCCCAGTCATATCCAGGTCTAGTGGCGGTAAATCCTCTGCAGTATCTTCCTCTTCGACCTGTTCCTTCGACGGTTCATTTCCTTCAGACTGTTTTTTTGACTCTTCTTCCGCTGCAGGCGCCGGAGGAATCTTAGCACCAAGACTGTAAAGTTATGAGGTAAATACTCTGCAACTTTTTGTGCAGTATAAAGAAAAATAACCCTTCAAGCTTGAAAACCACTTTTCTCGAAGGATCAGTCAAGTCCAGATTACAAAGCATAAGTAAAAAAAAACAATTTTTGATACCTTCGTACCATAAACCTTCACTGGAAAAAAAAAAAGTGAAGATAAGCAAAGCAAACCTTTCAACGAGCAACGAAACATTAATTTTTTAAACGTAGTTCTGATGTCCAAATACCACAGTTTTCTCAACTTACTTTTTAATTAACTATAATTTTGAATTTTCGTTCAACAGAGCCATTTGATAAAATAAAAAATGCCTTTCTAACAAGTTATTTGATTCAACCCAAACGGTGTTTGGGAAGAAGGATGAAATAGTGAAACAAATCCCAAAAAAAAAAGATAACTAAAAAAGAAAAGAACTGGAAAGAAAAGAGTGCTACTAAGCATGTTCTTCTTTAAACTGGTTCCACTAGTTTGCTAAAGACTTTACTTTTCCCTACACTACAGGCAGTTTATTAAGTATACCTAGTTCGTCACTGCAAATGAGACTTTTAAATATTAAGTAAGGCACGATAATGATTGCCACCTTAAAATCCATCCAGCATCCGTAAAACAATAATAAGATTGAATGCCAGATAGAGCAGTAACTCCAAAATGTTTCTGCAAAAAAACAAAAAATAAAACTTAAATATCTTACGCAAAGGATTTTTATACGTTTGGCTTCCTTCTAACTCTACCTCTGTCTATACAGAAACATTTTAAGAAATTGCAATCACCGTCAATCACAAACAAAATTTTAACTCGATATGCAAAAAAGAAATAAAAACCATATTAGAACGCAGGTAAAATACAATTAGCCAACTGCTTAGAACATATTCACTTGTAAGCTGCGTCCAAATCACTGAGTAACAGCTCAACGACAGTGCAAGATTTTTTTTATAAATAAAATTTCCTTGAACCGACATCCTATTTTATCCGCCAAGCCTTAGTTCAGCTCCTCCAAAAATCCCAATTCTCGAAAATACATCACGCTTTTTTAAACAAAAAAAAAAAAATGAAAAAGCTGAAAATTATAGGAAGCTTTCAGTGACAAATTATTCCGGTTAGTCATTCCCTTGGCTCTTCAAACAACATTCGTCAAAATTTTTTCTGCAAGATTCTTAATTAAACTTAGTGACTTTTGGAAAATAGAATACAGAGTTTTGAAAAATTTTTTACTCACTATTCAATTCGTGAAACCATATTTTATAAAAGTTTTACTGCCCAGTAAAAGCAAAAAATTACCTTAATATAAACAAGAAATCTAGCCTAGGTGAGTCAGAATTTTAAAACGAGTGAAATACAGAAATAACCTTTCTAGGTACTCCTTATAGAACGCAAATCGCGGTTGGTGTAAAATACCGGGATTCCTTTTACAACTGCTAACAAACTGCTTTAAAAGCTCCGTCTGAGTGTCACTGTCCATAACTAAAATTAATATTTAGTATAAGTACATTATTAGAGAACAACAAAGTATCCTGCAGTTTCAACCCACAAGTCAAATTAATAGACGAGACAAAGCGCAAAAGTCGTAGATCCTACAAACTCCTAAGATTTGTCTAGTTATAGAAAACAAAATTCGGCTTTTAGATTAGATGTGTAACGAAGCAAAAGGTTAAATTTACTGATAAAGTCACCACTTGTTAATATACTCTATCTCCCTCCTATACTGAATAAAACACTTAGCAATATAAGTGTTTAAATTCCAAGAGCAGCTTCACCTACCAATTCACTAGTAACAAGAAAACGAACAAAGAAGCTCCGCTAACCAAGATAAGAAACAGCCAAAGAATTCCTCCAGTCATAATGTCAAAGTTCTAAATAAACTTAAACCGTTTCTCACTAAACCAAAAGTTTCCTACGTTACAAAAGACTTAAAAATTGACAAATCTAACCAAGAAGTCGACTTGTTGAAAAGACGTAGAGAACAGAGAACTCGACGACAATTACGAAGAGTCAAGACTGATAGTTTGACAATAAATACACATATAATAATTACAAGTAAAACAAAATAATGAGCCTTCCTTCCTGGAAATATAATGACCTTTCTTCAGCTGTGATACAGTGCACGAAGTTTACTAAATTTTTAAAAGCACACCCTTAAAACCCAATACAAATTTGAAAATTTCAGCATTTCAAGCAGACAAAAAATTCCAATTCCTCAGCTGCGAAACTGCTATACTAAAACCCCTTGACTATAGATTCCATTAAAAAAGTACCAAGAGGACAATAAATATGAATTATAAGCAAAGCTTCAACATCGATCTGTAAAATAATTTTCCGGTACAGAAGAAAAAACTAGATTTCCAGTTGCTACATGAAAGGGACAAGAATACGCACTCCACAACAACAAATCAAAATCAAAAAAAAATTTAGTTATTTAACTAAATGATCAAAAACTTCACTAACAAAACTTGAAACATCAAAACTACAGTAACCAAGTAACATTAACAACAATGAAAAATTATTGTAAACATCTTGACCAATATAGAAAACATTAAAAGAAACGGAAATGCTCCTTTTCACGAATTCCATCTAAGAACAAAGATCGAATATGGTGCAAAAAAAGAAAAAAAAAATGTAATACAAGTTTTGTTTTAGGAAAACTAGCAGTATCCCTCGTCTTATATTTGAACATTTTGGGCATGCTTTATGAGTGCACCGATGCGCCTGGAAATAAGAAGCAGTGTGAATTACTTTAATAAGAAAGATTTTACTGTTCAGACAACCTTTAAATATACTTAATGAACAGCCGTATAGCAAGACCTCAAGCAGATATTACCTTGAAATAATTTTTACCGCTTCCCTTTTTTTTTAATATATCACCATTACTTAAAGAGTGCGTTAGCTTAGATGCCAACGCACCAAACATCACATCGACTGAAAAATGCGCTATCATCAAACATTTAGTAATTTAAATGCCTTATTAAATGGCTTCTGGGCATTGGCCAACAAAATTTCAGTTTCTTAAAAAACCCAACTGTTAAAAACTCAGCTACTGAGTAGAAATAGAAAGTAAAAAAATTATTACGTCAGACTATTGTTATAAACAGAATAATTTGCTAGAATTCCACGTCTCGATAACCAGTGTGTCGTTGAGGAAACGTGGAGGATGATACCCCGTGACTTCTGGCGTTAGGCACTGATTAACTAAAGACCAATTCTGATTCGAACGAAGACCTACTTCATAATTAAAATTATAGTCGTGGTCGCTATTCATTTAATCTAATTTCTGTGCGGATTCTGTTTGCGCTGACTTCAACCACAAATTTGCATCAGTCAGGAACAACTCGACCGATAAACCGTAAACAACCAGACTGTATAGTCCAGTTGTCATTGCAAACTATGTTTGTAACTAAGCATAAAATTATTCAGATACTTTATCTGACCTTCATATATCACAACAATAAACAGCCTAAAAGAAATAAAACCCCAAAAATGTAGCTTGCCGACAGCCACTACTGAAATAATCGTATATGGAAAAAAAAACAGTATCAGTAACTGCATCAACAAGAACAACGCCGTCAAACAATAAAAAGCTGTGAAGAAAAAAGAGCATTTCATATCCCAATTGAGTGACCTACCAACGAACTAATGTAATCGAATCTAAATTTAAAA